AAAAAAAAGGAATATGATACCACCAGGCAGAAACCTGGATCTACACAAAGAAATAAAGAGCTCCAGGATGGTTAAAAATAAAGATAAATAATAACACAAAAAGTGAGGTAATGAAATTGGAAGTATACTGTTTTAAGGGTCTTACATTACACAGCATATTATTACTTAAAGGTCCACTGTGATTAATTCAAGATGTTTACTGTNGGGGAGGGAGAAACATCAATGTGAGAGCAGAACATTGATCCGCTGCCTCCCGCCCACCCCTTCCTGGGGATGGAGCCCGAAAACCAGACATGTGCCCTGAGGAGGAATTGAACCAGCAATCTTTTGATACATGGGACGGTGCCGAACCAACTGAGCCACAACCAGCCAGGGCAGATATTTTTTAAAAGAGGTATAAATGATAAGCCAATAGTGAGAAAAAAGTGGAATCATAAAAACTCACAAAATTCAAAGTAGTAAGAAAAAGAGGAAAACAGAAACAAAGACCAGATGGGACAAGTAGAAAAAAACTAGCAAGATGGTAGGTTTAATCCAGCCACATCAACAACTGGTATAAACACACCAATTAAATGGCAGAGGTTATAAAATTAGATAAAAAAGCAATACCAAACTATGTTCTGCACATAAGCAGTGTATTTTAAATATAAATATATAGCTAAGTCAAAAGTAAAAGGATGAAAAAAGATATACCTTGCAGACCCTAATTAAAACAAAAGCTGGAATGATTACATTAATATCAGACAGTTGGAAATTAAACAACAGACTTCAAAATAACCAATGGGTGAAAAAGGAAGTCACAAGGGAAGTTTAAAAAACACGCAGAATTTAATAGAAATGAAAACAGAATATACAAAAATTTGAGAGATGTAGTTACAGCAGTATTCAGAGGGACACTTATAGCATTAAACTATTTCTATAAGAAAAGTTTCAATGACTTCAGCCTCCACCTTAAGAAACCAGAAGGGAAAAAAAAGGTAAATTAAACCCAAAGCAAGCATAAGGAAGAAAATAATAAAGGTAAGAGCAGAAATCAATGACACTGAAAATAAAAACGAGAGAGAAATTCAATGAAACCAAGAGCTGGTTATTTAAAATGATTAATAATATCAAACCTGTAGTGAACTGGCCAAGGAAAAAAAGAGAACACTAATTACAAATACTGAGACCTAAGGTAACCATATAGGTTGGTCTGCAATTAAAACTTTTAACTGAAACCAGTTTATAAAGGTAATCATGTTCTAGGCGAGACTCTTCCCTGACAAAAGTGAATCTTTACCTTAATTAAGCCTGCCTATTGTCTTTTTGCAGCTACCACAACATACCTTTGGAATGTCAGAGTAACTTCCCTTTTTCCAGACCTCTCAGAGCATAACCAATGCACCAATGGGGAGACCACAAATCCTCTCGTTATCATGTTAATTGTTGACTGTTAACTATCCTGTATCCACCTACATCAAAGATGTGACTATCATTTTATTTTTTATCCAATCCCAGAAGTTACCCCACTTTGCTTTCTCTTGCCTCCCTAGTCTATCACCAATGGATTTTATGTAACCCACTTATGTCTTCTCTTTTGATTTAATGTATAAAATAAGATGCAAAACTGCCATTCTCTGGAGCATTTTCTTAATCCACTGAGATTTTGCTTCCACAGCTGTCGACAGTTTGGCTCAAATAAACTCACAAAAATTCTCTACAGGTTTGAATGTTTCCTATGTTGACCAAACAGGTAACCATTAGCTACTCTAATTAAGGAAAAAAAGGACAAATCTGAAATACACAAAATTAAAAAGTGGGAATTATCAAATACCAGAGAAAAAAGATAAAATGGGAAAATTCTATCTTCAACAGAAATAAAATACTATATAAAAATAAAGTTAAGGAAAATGCAATTATTTTATGAAGATTATAAAATATTGCTGGGGGTGAAGCTGGGGCAAAACAAAAGAGGACTTGAACAAATGGGAAGGCCTACTACAGTAAGACACATCATCGTAATGGTGTACATTCCCCCTAAATTAATGTAACCATTACTGGGGGTCACAATAAAAGTACCAGCAATTTTTAAAAATATGAATGTAAAGTGCCACTGGTAATCATCAGAAAACTTGTATAATCTCAAAGTGGTGAAGGCTCTGGGTGCTACGCATAAGAGGAAAGCGCAGTAAATTCAACTATAAGTTCCAAACGCCTGCATGGCAAAAACTACCAGCGAGCAACGTCAAAGGCAAATGAAAAGAGCTTTGCCGCTCATATAAGTATCAGCTGGCTGTGTGACCTGCGCGAACCACTTCACCCTTCAGAGCGTCCGTTTTTCCTTCTGGTGAAACTGATACTAGCGAAGGCCCAGGGTAGGTGTGAGGATTAGGCGAACACTTAACTGAAAAGGCTCCTGCAAAGAGGTCAGTGCTCTAATTCGTTCGGCACGTCGTGTGCATGAGGAAACCTGCAGCATCTTTCAATTCTCCCTCCACCTCGAGGCGCCCCGGGACGCGGCACGCGGCACACGCGCGCGGCCAGGTGTGTCCGGCCCCGCCCCCG